TAAAAATACAATATTAAAAAAAAAACTCCGAGTCTCACTCAAAAAGAAAGAGAACATCTGTTTAAAACAAAAGGCGCAAAACATTTTATTCTGGTTTTCAGAAATCAAGAAAGGAGAAGCAAAACTTGCACCGCCAAAATAGTAAGAAACAAGATTTGAAGCAATTGTTTGAAATCACACTTTTATTTAATTTGAAAGAGAATACGTGCGTCGGATATTCCAAAAAATATAATTATTAATGTACGGAATGTTCGTTTGTTCGGGAGAGATGGAATGCATATATTAATAAAGTTCATAACAAAGCCTAAACAAATCATAACCAATACTTTTCATAATCAAAATTTGTAATCTAATTATTGGTATATTGTATCATAACCCGGATGAATATTTGAAAATGTGTGTATATGAGTTGTACACGGCAAAAACTAAGATTCAATAGCTTTTGTGGGAAAAACTACGATATGTAAATATAAAACAACATTTTGAAAAATGTTATTTCGAATGAGAAGTATATATGTGGTTGAATAAGATAACAAAAGCTACAAACGTTATGTTTTGAGGTCTCTGGCGATTTACTCCAAATGAGCTGTCCATATAGTAAGGAAGACTGACTTGACCTTGATTCGTTATGGATTTGAATTATTAGATGACCAGAGATTTAAATGCCAAATATCATAATGGCTACGACCAAAAAAAAATATATCATAATGGCTTGAGTCAGTAGAGTGGGTGGTTTCTTTTTAATGATTTTTAAAGTTAAATGTTAATATGAGAGAATAATGTTGATAGATTCATGAGTGGGTCGTATTAGTATACTCTCTGTCTTTCAAAATATAAGTTGTTTTGAAGGTTTTTATATGTTTCAAAATATAAGTTGTTTTGATAATCTTAAATACTTTTTAACTTTATTGACTATTATGTGATCAATAGTATGTTGCAGTTATTTTTTTTATTGGTTAAATTATTTTTATTATATATATATTAGATAATACTTTATAGAAAAAAATAGTTTTTTAATATTCGTACTTTTAGCCAAAACAANTTATATTTTGAAACAGAAAAAGTATTATATATGGATATATGCTGTAATGTTCATAAGAAGTTTAAAGGTATATATACAAAAATGTAAACACGGGAAACATAAATGTATAAAATTTCATTGATTTTCATCGTAAAATTAATTGGCAATAAATATAAGTTAAATAGTGACG